ATATATATATCAGGCGCATTGGACTGGTATGCATAATATATTATTTCATATGGGTGCATATTGGACACGGATAATTGCACATATATATATTGGGAAACATGTCCTGCGAGCCACGTATACCGTTAGATGCTCACACATACATGCGTCAACCATTTCTGACTGGTACAGCACAAAACAGATAGTGCTGTATTCGGCTTACCTGCTCAATATCGACACTGTTCGATTCCGCAAAGGGGATGAAGCTCAACGGGGGTACCTCGCTCTGGGATATAACCCATTCTATTTGAACACCCGTGACATTGTTCATTGAGTTGCCATTCCTGTCATACGCATTGATAGCCACTATCTCCTGCTCGTGCCAATTAAGCCGTCTGTATGTCGTCGCTACTTCAATCTCAGCGATTTCCTCTACACGTACTTTGACCGTATTGTATAGTCCTGAATTCATGTCAGTAACGGTAACTGTTGACATACTCGATCTGAGCTCAGATTCAACAGTTGTAACCCAAGCATGCCCTGAACACCCATCGGGCACAGTCACAGGCGTGATGGATATGCTGTTGGGGTTGTCATTGTGCCATTCGTAGCACCCTCCCACAGCATGCAAGAGAAACGTGCATCTGTGCGATGTTTCGGATGTCCAGGGAAGTAGTACTTGTAGTGTGTTGAGGCGGATGCCTGTTTTGGCTGCCTGAGTGGATGGGGTGAATAAGCCTAGTACAACTAGGACTATGCTTACTAAAGTGCGCATGTTGTGTATAGGAGAGTTTACACGTGTATGAGTATGAGTGAAGATGGTTTCTGCATACACCATGGTTTTGATTTTTTGGCGTGTGATGAGGTTCCGTGTTGGAAACGGAAGCAAGACTATATATGGCAATACTCTTACGTCCTAATATGTGTATGCTCGAACATTCCTATGGTGCCTGTATACGTGGATGCGCATGTATACAACTCTGTGCACACACGCATATATCTATATACGTGCCCGTATGCGTTGAAAGTACAGATCTACACTTCTATCTGCGCATATGGTGTGTATATATACCACATATACTATATATACACCTCTAGTGGTTGTATGTTATCCACACCCTATCACCACACACTTTTGATTATTCTTGACATCTTTCGTTTCACCGGTGAGTGCGACTGCTTTCATGTGGACTCAACCGCCAAAGCGCGCGCAATCCACAGCCCTGATATGATTGGCTGCCAAGGCATTGGGATCAGTCACTGAACAGCTCCCGTGTAATTACTCTCAGTCTCATTCCGTTCAGATTATATTGCAGTTTCGGGTATCATTTCTAGCCGTCTGTTTGATTGAAGACTCTTATGTATTGTAAATATAACACTATAGTCAAGTACATCCAGGTGATAGATAGATGCATACGATAGACAAAGGTACGTGTGTTGATGGATGATAGATAGATACATACGATATATCTGTTAACAGTACATATGTAGGTGGATGATAGATTGGTTCATACGATATATCTGTTAACAGTACATATGTAGGTGGATGATAGATTGGTTCATACGATATATCTGTTAACAGTACATATGTAGGTGGATGATAGATTGGTTCATACGATATATCTGTTAAAGGTATGTGTGTAAATGGATGATAGATAGATACATACGATACATCTGCTATAGGTATGTGTGTAGATGGATGATAGATAGATATATACGATATATCTGTTAATAGTACGTGTGTAAATTGGTGATAGATAAATACATAATATATATCTGTTAATAGTACGTGTGTGAATTGATGATAGATAAATACATAAGATATATCTGTTAATAGTACGTGTGTAAATGGGTGATAGATAGATACATACGATGCATCCTTTAGAAATGCGCGTCTATTTGGTTGTGTTACAATTGCTTACATCTGTTCATGGTTCTCAAGCATACACGTGATTCTCAACCAGATCGATTGCCAATGACAGATACAGCGCTGTTATGCATGGTTGCGGTAGCAATGAAGTGGACTAAATGATACCATTGTTCTGTACACCTTAGGGTTTAGGCTTTGAGCTGAATGTACTCTGACTCAGCCTCGATTGTGAATAGCTGGACCAGCACTCAGACAACACATAACAGTGGTATGTGGCGATGGAACAGGTGTGAATCCCTGGTATTAAATGTACACTATCAGTGAATCCTAAGAAGTGAATGTGCGCTTATCAGTGAATCCTAAGAAGTTTTTGTGCACTTATCGGTGAATCCTATGGCATTGCGCGACATAGTAGGTCCCGGCAGCGGTTCGTATTAGGCAATGGGATGTGTGTGGTCTTTCGCATTTGGTTATATATGTTGATGGCGATGCTCACGTCAGATATAACGTTTCATTCACACGCCAGTAGTTGATGATCGCCTTATGCACACACTGTCAGTTGGATGTAAAGTACATACCTAACGTCAGATGTAGCGTTTCATTCAACGCCAGTAGTTCTTGATCGCCTTAGGCACACACTGTCAGTTGGATGTAAAGTACATACCTAACGTTGTAAAGTTTCATTCACACGCCAGTAATTCTTGATTGGCTTATGCACACATTGCCAGC